GGCGCACTTTGGAGAGAGCAGCACATTAGCCAGGGCTTGTTTTTACCCAAATCTTTTCTTTCCCGCTGCTCCGTAGGATAGCACAGTCTGTGATGCAGGGAAAGATGGCTAATGAAGTGGGCAGGGTGCGGGAGGCAGGTTAGCTGGGGAGGAGAGCCACACTGATGATGTAAGAAGAGCGTGGAATGGATTTTATTAATTCTATTGAGCTGCTTGTGAATGATTTTGTGACTATACAAATTGGCAACTTCTTTCTCTGAATATCACTGTAATCGGCAGTGAAAGCCACTAGATTTGTTGCTGGTTGTTTTCATACTTATTTCCTGGCTAGGGAAACCAAAAAGTTGCTAAATCTAGCAAGAAAATAGCTACATTGGCAACAAGGAAGGAAGGAAGGAAAGAGAATTTACAATGTTTTCTGTCACATTCTTATACTCACCAGGTAAATGCATGTATATGTATATGCATGTCTAGGGAACGGGAGATCTTGAATTCCTGTTCTAGCTACACAGAGTCACTCACTCATACCAACTTTGCAGGTCTGCTTGATACATGTAATAATCCTGCATGCCTGGCCTGGGAGTTTTGAGTCACCATTCTACTGGTTTAGAGTATATTCATGTTGGGGGGATCATTTGTTATGTAGAAACGGATGTTTCACCTTTCTTTAGATACCTTTGGCCAAAAATATAAAAGCTCTGGGTTCTGCTTTTTGCCTGACAGGTTACCCCACATGTGCTAATTAGGAGAATATCACTTAACGGCAGAATCACCTTCTCTTTATTGTGATTCCTGCAGTTTTGTTCATTAATGGTTTTAATATGACAGCATGAAAATCTGTTGACACTACGTCTCTCCATAGTTGCTAATCGGACAGTGTTGTCTGCATAGACCTGCAGACAATGCAGAGTTTCAAGCTAGTTTCATAGGCATTCAAGTTCAATGATACTTTTGATACATTTGAAACACTGAAGGATAGTTTACTCAGCTGATGTGAGCCAATATGCTTCCACTCACTGCAATGGAGCTCTGCTGATTTACACCAGCTGAAGCTCTGACCCCCAAAGTCTCCTTGTTTGTTCGAACCCACATGTAGTGCTCCCTCACTCTCCGGTCCGGAGGGAGGCCACTCTGCCTCATTGTCTTGGGGTTTAGTCCTCGGGTCGCACCGGTGGGGTGGAGCCATAAGCACTCTAGAGCTCTGGGCCCATTCGACAGAGGCAAACACACAATAACAATCTGGGGCCTTTGTCCCCGCCCCTGGGCAGGGCAGCGTCCTGCGGAGTCTCTAGTTCGCAGCCCAACAATAGGGTTGACAGCAATTAACAGTCTAGGGCCCTAGCCCTCAAGCAGGGCTAGGCTGGTAGCCGGCTGTAGCCTAAGCCTACCGGTGCAGGCAGCCAGTAAGCCGACACAGTCAATTGGCTCTAGCCCTTTGGGCGGGGTCAAGCAGGGAGCAGGCTTTAGCCTGGGATTATTGGCTCAGGCAGCCAGCAAACACACACACTCTCGGGGTTCAGATAGCGGTGAGCACCCACACAGTCTAGGGGCTCAACAAGGGTTGAGCACCCAGTAGGCAGTCTAGGGTGCTGGCAGGGGTGTTCCTGGAACACAGGCATCCTGGCCTAAGGTGGGGAGTTGGCCACCCTGGGGTAAGGGTGGCAGGGGAACACGAGCCTGCCCTACTCCACCGCATCCCAGCCCAGGGCCCTAATAGTGGCAAAGTGGTCTGCCACTGGTTCGGTGGGAATCCAACCACAGTGCACCGACAGGGTCTGCCCTGTAACCGGCCAATCATCGGCTGCCCCTGGGCCACTTCCTGCCTCCCCAGGGCATCCACCAGTCCTCGGGCTCCTCGGGATAAACAGCCGACAGTAGACCCGGCAACTCCTCTTCTGGGTCCGTCTCCTTCAGGGGCAGGGCACCAGTTCAGTTCCTGGGTGCTGCTGCAGGGCAGAGG